TGGGGCGCTGAATGACTTAGCGAGATTCTGTCTCAAAAAAGGGACAATGTGAAGTTTCAAGTTCCAGGCAGCAGATGCCATCACAACTTGATCATCACAGACCAGGAGAGGGCAGAGAGACTGACGCTGTCCCTGCCTCCAAGTGTGGTAGCAGAGGAGCCAGAATGAGCTGAAACAGTGAAGTCAAATTAAAACTATAGCGACATGTTAGCAGTTGAAAAATTATATGTATATATACCTGCATTCAAAACATAGTGAGGATTTTTTGTGTGATATTGAGGCCCCTTGCTATGTACTTAGGTCCTGCCTAAGACATGGGCCATGTGCCCTACTCTAATGGACCCAGATCTCCTAGCCTTTAGTAATAGTTCTGTTTTTCTTTCTTTCTTTTTGGAGTTGTTTTTTTTTTTTTTTTGAGACAGGGTCTCCATATATAGCCCAGCTGGCTTTGAACTCACAATGTAGCCCAGATTGGCCTCAAACTCACAACTGTCCTTCTGCCTCCGCCTCCTGAGTGCTGGGAAGACAGGTGTGTGCTACCACGCCCGGCTTCATTTGCTCTCTGTCGGCTCAGCGTCTCTATTCTGTCAACGTGCCGACCACCGAAGGGTCTGGTCTGTGATGGCATCTGTGGAGCAGGTGGGGTGGATTTCAGAGAGGCTCCTGGGGGTCCTTGCTCACTCCGTGTCACTCACTGTGGCTGGGGGCCAGGAGGCTGATCCTCATCGGGCTGCGGTGATGGTCTGGGGCTCTCCTGATGTCTAGCATGTGTGATCATCACTGCATGACATGTGACCCTCTCAGACACCGCCAGGACCTTCCGTGCCGGCTTCTAGGTCTGCGGTGGGCCTCACAGCGCAGTCACACCCTGTGTCCACGGAATGTCTGCTACACACACCGCGACAGTGTCCTATTGGTTGTGTGTGGCCGGCCACCCAGCAAGAGCACAGTGCCACTTCTGCCATAACTGCACAGTGGTCCTCCTCAAAGCAGACCTTTGCTGGACACCTTCTGTGGGCCAGCAAAGTCACCAGGGACCAGGAGATCAAAGGTCACGTCCATGGGGAAGGTAGGGAAGGAGGGGCCAGAACACTGCAAGGGACAAAGAAGCACCTCTCTTGCTACAGATAAGTCAAATGGGAAAACAGAGCTTCCATATGCAAATAAAACTTGCCACTGACTTACCAGCAGGTGCATATCAGACAACCAAACATTGCTCCCAGGCCAGCAAACACCAGAGTGCCTGGCCCCTGGCGTGACAACACAGGAAGCCCTGCTTGTAGTCGTAGGAGACTGAGATGGTACCAAGCTGTTTCTGAACATTAACTCCAAAGCTTAGCAACTGGGGTGGGAGACTGACTTCCCCAAGCTTTGGCCAAAGCGGCTGTGCTGTGGGGTTAGACCACCTTGGTTCACCGAGCTATTCAAGGGGCACTAGGAGACAAAATCAAGAACGAAAACCCTCAACAGGCAGGCCCCAAATGTCACAAACACACATTTAAAGAAAAGATATCCATATCTTTTGTTGAGTGAGGAAAGAAGTTACTGAATGTATTAGTCAGGGTTTCCCAGAAAAATACAATATATATGTCCCACAGAATGAATATGGACAAGGGGGAGAATTTACTATCAGGAATTGGCTCATACACAGTTATGGGGCTGGCAAGTACAAGTTCAAAATCTTCAGGGCGAGAGGCAGGCCTGGCGTCAAACTCATGCTGCTCCTCCTGCAGCAGCTTGTGATCCCAGCACTTCAGCAGCTCTTGGTGGGAAGAGGAGAAGGGGATTCTAACTGCCTGCTTTGCAGCACTTGACAGTAGTTACATGGGGCATCTGGGTGACAAGTTCCGCTGAGATGTTTGTGTGACAGTAAATAGCTGTCATGTGGCAGGAGAGGAAAAAGTTTCTCTGATGAACTGGTGCTCTGGGCAAATACACCACTGAAACAACTTTTGAGAACAAACCGAACTGGGAGGACCCATTCTGTAGTGTGCACTGACGTAGCCATTCTGCACACCATTAGCCGCACTGATTACAAAAGGATTCAAGCCCTGAGCCTTTGCAGGGCAGGAATCTCCCCAGACCCAAACAGAAAGGGGAAAAACCCTATTATTCCTGGGGCACTGCAATGTCCCCAGCATTCTCTGTGATAACTCTCCCCCTCCACAACAGCCCTTTGAGTTAGGGATTATTTTTTTCCTGCTCAGGGAAGATCAAGGTTAAAGCACAAACAGCAGGAATTTAGGGTCTTCTAGCTCCAGGTTTCATGTGAACAGCCAGCTCCTTCCTAGCAGGCAATTTAAGCAAAGTTGTTTTTGTTTTTTTTTTTCTCTACCGGGAATCAAACTCACAACCTCAAGCTTGCCAGGCAGGCACTGTGCCGCTGAGCTATATCCCCAGCCCCTTACCAGGCAATTCAAAAAAAATAACAAGAACTTTGAGTAAATAAGGTAATAACTTCTCAGTACTTTCTTTGTGAGCTGTGTGTTTCCCACAGCTCTCCCCAGCATGTTGGGTGTAATACTTAACACATTTCAGATTTACCAGGAGAGGATCCAACTCCCAGAGGGAGGACATGGAGCAGTCTGATCCTTCCTAGAATCCCTATGGAACCCAGTGGGGATCTGGGGAGACAGGTTCAAGAATGGATGAGCGGTGATACACTCCTGTAATTCCAGCACTCCAGAGGCTGAGGCAGGAGGATTGTCATGAGTTTGAGGCCAGCCTGAGCTACATCGTGAATTCAAGGCCAGGACGAACTGCATAGTGAGACCCTGTCTCAAAAAAACAAGAACAAAAAAAAGAAAGGACTTTGACACCAACACCAAGTGTGTCAGTGTCCAGGCTGTGCTGTTCTTTAGCTGTGTGACCTTGTACATGACACTTGCACATCCTGTGTGTTACTTTCCTCATCTGTGAAACAAGATGGTGACCATAACAGTATCTACTTTGTGATTGGATTAGGCAAACTGGATGAGTTAATCCTTGCAAAAGACTTAAAATAGTGCTTGACACATGTAATTACTCAGTGAATGTTAGCTTTTCTGTGTCCTGCCACTTGAGGTTCCCACAACCTTATTTCTGTCTAGCCTGAGTCTGTTCACACACAGAGAGACATGCAGAGGGCCCTTTTGAGCCCTCAAAATTTGTCATTGTCTTGAAGCAGCTTTCAACCATGATTCCAGATGATCATAACTTATTTGAGTTGTTCTTATTGAACGAAATATATTTTAGGGACGGGGGATAGAAAGCAGACAGTTTTGCCCATGGTCACTTGGCCAGATGCCAGCAGAACCCTGACTTTGTCACAAAGAATTCAGTACACGTGATCCTCCTGTGCAGCCCCTCTCTCCACACCAGCTTCCCCTTAGAGGTCTCCATCCCCACCATCCTCTTCTCGTGTTTCCGAGTGCCTGGAGCTACCTCTAATTCCTGGAAGCTTGAAATTCACTGGTCACACAGAAAGCATTTCATCTGACCTTGCACCTGCAAATTCTTTCCATTGGGATTTCTCTCTGTCCGGCTCCACCCCAGCTCACAAGGCCCTAAATGATCCTCTGTCGGCTGCCCGGCCCCAGGGATTCCAGAAATAACAACAGCAGGCTCTCCATTAGGAGGCTGGAACATTGTGAGGCATTTCTGCACTAAGACACAAGGGTCCTTCTAGCCAGGCCTCTGCCTCCTGTCACAGCACAGAGCAACCTTTACTAGTGCTTGGGAGGGGCAGCTGGGAGGGAGCGTGCCTTTCTGGGAAGTCTTCACCTTGCCCTTCCAACTGTCCACCCCGTCAGATCTCCCGGTCTGGACGTTCTCTAGATTGGCTGTCTCCACTTAGAATTCAGATTTGTTTCTTGCCTTTGATATTCTTTGCTTTTCTCTGATCCAGGCTCCCTAGGATACAGGGGAGCTGCGATCAGAGCAGCGGGAGCCCAGAGGGTAATTTTCATCCTAAGAGCAGCAGGACAGCCACCTTTCTCAGAGCTGGGGACCTGGGGAGCAGGAGAGAAGGGAGTGGCTCAATAGGAAGGAAAAATGTGAAGGTGTCTCAGAACGAGTGGTATCTGGGGCGAAGGTTCTCGAAGTCAATGTTTTAGCTTCCCAAGTGTCTTCTCCAAATACCCAGGAAATTATTTTTTTTTAGAAATGTACACATGCTTTACAGAGGACAATGTGAAATTATATCTTTATCTATATTTAGATGCGTAATCTGGAAAAGGTAGAAAAGACATTTAAAAAATTGCTTTGCGGGTGGGTGTGTAGTCATGGCTTATTTTCTCTAAATCGTGCTTAAATGTCATTTCTTATTTTAAAAAAATAGTAATACATGCCATCCGCCCTTGTCTCCTGGGATCTACCTCTCTCCAAGGGAATCTGATATCGGGTGCCTGTCTGCAAACTTGAATGTATCATGTCAAAGACACACTTAAGCCACTTTCTCCGGGAACTAATTCCTCCTTAAAGGGGGTGGGATTATTTCTAATTCGTACCCCTAACAGCAACGTCATGCACGAAAGGCTGGGTTTAGCGTCTTGGGCTTCAAACCTTTGTCACGAATATAAAAGGTGGAGTGGGGGAAAAAAAAAGAAAAAAAAAGCAGCTTGTGCAATACAGCGGCCGATCGTGGAAACCTTCACGGCCCAGCTCGGGTCCGGCCTGCTGCGGGATGTTGTGCCACCACGCACCTCTGCAGCAGGAGCCTGGGCCGGGAGGTCGCGCGCCTCGCGGTCCCCGGCCGCGCCTAGAAGCGCCAGGGCGGCGGGGAGGATAAGGGGAGTTGGTAACAGCATCGCCATGGCAACAGTGACGTCCTTTTACCCTGGATCTAATTGGAGGAAACCCCGTGGCCGAAGCCGCAGCCTTCCGACCAACCGAACTTGTCCGGGCCGACCCACCCTCCTAGCCTCCGCTTCCCCTTGCGTACCACCCCTCGCGCCCCCTTCCGCGCGCTCTGTCCTTATTGGTCAGCGGCCGGGTGGAAGGCGGGACTCCATAAGGAGATGCGGCTCTTTATTGGGCTGCTGCCCGCACCTCGGCTCTGCGTTAGGTTGAGACGGGAGGGTCCTCACCTAAAGCCAAAAGCAGATCAAAGTGGTAGGACTCGCGACGCTACCGCTGAGAAGAGAAGGTGAGTTCCTTGGGGGCGGCCTCTAGCGTCCTCTGACTATACGCGGGGTCTGAGGGCGGGGGTGGGGGCAGCAGCCCTCTGGAGCGACCGGCCATCGACGCTTCTCGCCTCAGGGAACGACTCTCGGCGGGAAGGTGCGGGCCAACGGCCGCTTCCATCTTGGGCCGGCCGGGCGGGGGTGGTGAGCTCGGCCCTCCGCGGGCTAGCGTGCCTGTCCCCGCCTCCTCCCGCGCGGGCCGCGGTCACTCCGGCGCCCGGAACTGGCGGGTGAGCGGGGGCGGGACACTGAAGCGGAACGCGTGTGCGCGGAGACAAAGCGGGCGGCGGGCCGTATTGTCTGAAGCGCCCCCCTCCCGGCTTTTTGTCCTCGCCGGCGCCGCCCCGCCCCTCCAGCTCTCGAGGCGACTCCTCCCGGTCCGGGTCGCGCTCGCGCTCGCCCTCGCTCGCCCGCCTCGCCCTCGGCCCCGGGTCCCCACAGCCGCCAGCGCCATGGAGAAGACCGAGCTGATCCAGAAGGCCAAGCTGGCCGAGCAGGCCGAGCGCTACGACGACATGGCCACCTGCATGAAGGCGGTGACCGAGCAGGGCGCCGAGCTGTCCAACGAGGAGCGCAACCTGCTCTCCGTGGCCTACAAGAACGTGGTCGGCGGCCGCCGGTCAGCCTGGAGGGTCATCTCGAGCATCGAGCAGAAAACCGACACCTCCGACAAGAAGTTGCAGCTGATTAAGGACTATCGGGAGAAAGTGGAGTCGGAGCTGCGGTCCATCTGCACCACGGTCCTGGTGAGTCCGCGTGGGGGAGAAGGGGCGGCGGGGCGCAGGCTCTTCTGTGCGATTTGACCCTTCCGTGAGGGTTTGGTGGGCGCGGGCATGCCTGGAGGCTCCGGGGTCGAGGGATTGCAAAGCTGTGCAAACCCTGGCTGCCTTACTGGGTTATTTCAGTGCTGGAGACTCCCAAGAATCTACTTCTCCAAGGTAAGTAAGCCTACCAGATGCTGGGTTGCTAAAACTTGGAAACATCCAACATTTGCCCAAGACTGAAAATGGTCCCTAACCTTGTGCTGGGAATCAGTATTTGAGTATCCGTCAATCTTGTAAACGTCTTTACTGAGTTCACAGGCTTCGAGCAGCTGAAAGAAGGCATGCAGACCTTTTCCATACAGACTCAGTAGTAGGTTCTCCTCCCACACCTAGTAATGGAAAATCGAAACAGATACTTCATTTTTCAAGGAGTTAACCTGTCGAGCTTGTCCCTGTTAGGAAGGGGAAAGGCCAGGCAGTATATGTGTAAAGGACTCGGCCAAATCTAAAGAACAAAACGTTCTGGTCAATTTTGGTACAGTATTTAGTAACATTCGCTTATTAGGGAATAGCTACAGTTGAGCCTTGATGCACTGGAATGAATTCATTTGTGAAACGGTCGGGAGGGCTGGAGAGCTTTGCAGGTTTGAACTGTCCAGTGTTACTTAGCATGGGTGACTCTTGGGTGGAGTAGGTGGCTGCTGTGATTCACCCTGATTAGAGTTTTAGCTTTGCTTTGTACAGATCTTCTGATCAGTAAGTTTTTATATTTATTTATTTTTGGAGTACTGGGAATCGAACTCAGGGCCTTGCACTTGCCAGGCAGGCGCTTATGCCACTGAGCTATATCCCCGGCCCTGTGATCAGTATGTTTTTAGAACTTAAATACCAGCAGTGTTGTGGAGTGTTATTAGAGACCTTTATGCTTCAGAGAGTTGTTTCTACAAATAAAATAGGAAAAACTGAATGTGGTTTGTCCCTTTAAATGCCACTTTTAGAAGAAGCCTACTGATTTTCAATGTGTTTGTTCCACAGCTTGTTTAGGTGGGGTTTGAAAGACAAGCATGCTAGATTGATTTCTCCAAAGGGAATACTAGATAGCAGGGAAGTTCATCTTGACCTCTAGTCTTTTCTCCTTTATCATATCAGACTAGTGGAGCAGGGAATTTTTCCCCCTTGTAAAAATATTTCTTTAATCTGTTTTTCTGATACAAATACAAGTGTTCTGAACAAAATCATGGCCAATGGAAATAGCTGGAAAAGAGGCAAAAAAGCAACATAGAGAGTGCGTACTAAAGTGAAGGCACCTTCATTGAGATTATTTGTGTTGTGAAGGCAAGACTCTGTTATATTCATCTATGTCCTCTTAGCTTCCAGTCCGTGTGTGGCATAGGAGGTACTTTATAAGCTTCTAGATCTGAATTGCATATGTGCAAGAAATTTGTGAACTTAAAATGATGATATATTTCCATAGTGTATTATGGTTTTTGACAGCGTTACCTATGTATAAGAATTGTAATCCCAGCACTCAGGAGGCTGAGGCAGGAGGATTGATTCAAGTTTGAGGCCAGCCTGGGCTACATAGTGAGTTGAAGGCCAGTCTGAACTGCATAGTGTGACCCTGTCTCAAAAAGACAAAAAAAAAAAAAAGCCTGACAAGGTGATCTTTATATGTATTGATTTTGAGCATTCTAATGGCATGCTTCTCTCGCTTTTCTCTTCAGTTATTTGTAGTTTGTTAGTTACCTTGTGCAATTCAGAATTATGAGTTTTCCTGTTAGCTAGTTAAATCAGGGCCAAAGAACTTTCATTTTATTTTGTAGAGCCGTGGCAGAAGAAAAACCTGGAGAGGAAGGTAGGCGACATAATTTATTAGAGAAGGTAACAAGGAGGTTTACCTTATTTGATTAGCAGTGAGGAGACATTGAAGATTTTTTGAATGCTGTGAGTGCAGCAGCATCTACACCTCAGGCTTGAGTGCTAAGTAGCCTGTCATCTGAACTCACTGGCAAGGAAGTAATAGACTCCAAACAGGAAAGAGTGACAGTTTATTTATTTATTTGTTTATTGGTACTCAGGGAGGGGTTTGTGTATGTTTTTGTGGTGCTGGGGATCAAACATGGGCCTTCTTTCTTCAATAGTATAATAGATACTAGGCATTCTGCCTCTGCTCTGATTTCTTTCCACCTCTAAAGCGAATAAAGTCCAAGTTCAAGAACATGATGTCTAAGATATATGAAATGTTGAAAAACCAGTGACCAGTGAAATGGCTTTGGTGATTTCAAAGTCATTGTTGACCTTACTGAATATTGGAAAGAGCTAAGTTTAAGCAAAAACTGGGCAGTTGTTAACAACACAAGTAAAATATTTGGAAGTCATTAAGTATTTGGATGCAAAGTTAAAGGAGAGGAAAGAAACTAGAGGGGCCCATAAAGCCTTCTGGGACTTGAGAACATGATCTGTCATTCACAGCTTGTGACCTTGGATTGGGAAACAGACAATTAATTAAGATATGTGTAAGATGACCTCTGTCTCAGGACCGTTGTCCTTTCCTATCATTTAGTAGTGTGTACAGTAATGCACAATTTACAAATCTTTTGTGATTTTTTTAAAAAAATAAGAACTCTTACATAGTATGCAGAATCTGAAAGCTACTCCTGTGATTGTGTAAGAGCTTTGAAACCGTATTTCAGGAATATAGTTGAGTTTAGTTGTGTTTTAATTTCTTACTGAAAATGTGTTTTATACTGGTCGTTATTTTGGTGTAAGACTGTAAGGCATATACGTAATTGATGCACCTTGAGACTATACTCTTAAGTGAAGTAAGTTGAACACGTGTAAATACCCCATTGTTTCTCTGGTGTGAGAAAATGAAAGTGTGAAGAAAAAAGGTGAAAATAAAAGGACTATAAGGCATTGTTCCATTATCTTATAGTTTGGTGAGCACGGACAAATTTCCTCCTCCCCTGCCTTTTGCAGTGCTATGGGTAGAACCCAGGTCCCTGGCCCCAGCCTTGCTAGACAAGCACTGAGCTACATCCCCAGCCCTTTTAAAAGTTTGTTTTGAGACAGTTTCTCGAAGTTGTCCATGGTGGCCTCAAACTTGAGTCTTGCTGCCTCCCAAGTCGCTGGAATTATAAACATGCCCCACCCCCCCATGCCTGGCTAACTATTTCCGTATTTCAGCCTCTGTTTCTTCATCTGTAAATTGGCGAGAATGGTGTCCATAGAATAACAGCTGGTAATTCATATTCATGGGGCATTTACTGAACACTAATGCTGGTCCCATAAGTTAGGTTGATAGTGTGGAGAGCCTAAGACAGAAGGATTATAAGCTCAGTCCTAGTCCAGGGAATTTAGCAAGACCCTCTCTCAAAACTAAAAAAAAAAAAGGCGGGGGGGGGACTGCCTGGAGACGTAGCTTAGTAGAAGTGGAGTGCTTTCCTTGGTATCCATGAGGCCTTGGGTTCAATACCCGCTACTGCACGCATAAAGTGGGAGCGACTGAGGCATGATACTAGTAACATGGTCAGGACTGCAGCACTAGTTAAGTGATAGAGTGAAAATTTTGCCCAAGTTGTGTGGCTCCATATGAAAAGTGGTAAATTGGGCATGGTGGCACATGCCTCTAATCCCAGCATTGGGGAGGCTGAGGCAGGAGAATGGCTGTGAGTCTGAGGCCAGCCTGAATTATATAGCAAGAGCCTGTCTCCAAAAAAAAAGTGAAACACAGTAGTCTCTAAATTCATGGTAGCTGATTTAAGACCCAAGATTGATTCTCTGTTTGAGGGAATTTGTATATTTCAATAAATGTAAGACATTAACATTTACAACTTAGGAGGGAGAGAACATAGGTCTTTGGTAAACAAAACTCCCAGAGTCTGTAATACATCCTTTGATATACAGGCATTGCAATAAAATTTCAAAACTTAGCATTTGGGTTTTTGGCCTGTACATTAAAAGTTCCTTGAAGCCAGAAGTTTAATTTTGTTTTGTTTTTCTTCAAAATGTGAAACTGGGGACCCTCCATCTGGTATAGGCGGGACACAGTGGCGCCCTTCTCCAGTTCGCCAGGGTGTGTGGCTGCAATAGCCTACCACAATCTAGCAGGAATCCCTGGGTGTCAGTGATGGGGAGGCCCTGGATCCCGCCCCAGCCTCCCCCTATGGGCTTTGGCTGTGTAAGGCCTGGGGGGTGTGCCCACCTGTTGACAGTGAGTGCCTATGTAGCCAGGGTGGTCCAAGCAGTTGAATGCATTCTCCCTACACCTTCAGGTACCTCTGTTAAAGCAGGAGCTGGGTGTGGGGCACAGGACCTTCCCTCCTGCCCAGAACTGGGGGCTTTCTGAACTGTGATCCTTAACCTCTCACATGAAGCTAGGACCCCGGAAGAGGTCCCGCCCCATACCTGAAGTAGAAAAAGAATTTACAGGTGAAATGGAAATGTAAGGTTAGATCAGTGTTTCTCAACTAGGGTGTGTTTACCCATGCTGCACCCCCTGGGGGACCCTGTGGAGCATCTGGACACATTTTTCCATGCCCAGTTGAGGTGAGAGGGATTCTTGGGGGACGTCCTGCTGCTGATGCTGGGTGGCACTGAAATACTCAGGTGCTACGCAGTGCACAGCTCTCCTGGTCTCCCCAGAATTACTCTCTAGTCCATAGTGTCAGTACAGTGTCCACCAGAGCTCAGCAGCTGCATAGCACACGCTGCACTGTGACAGGTTCTGTCCTGCCTGGCCTCCAGGCATCGTGACTGAACTTTTTGTCTAGACTTGTCACTTTGCCCTGTCACTGTTGTGTGTGCCATTTAGCTATCTAGTTCACCTTATTGGAATTTGTTTACCAACTTGTATTTTCAGTCTCTCTTCTGATTGCCTTAGAAGCCTTGTGATTTGTTTTTAATTTGTTTATTTTAGATTTTTCACAACAGTCTTTTTTTTTTTTTCTGGCAGTCGAACTCAGGACCTTATGCTTGCCAAG